AAAAAAAAAAAAAATTGAACAACAGCCAGGCGGTGGTGGCACATGCCTTTGATCCCAGTGTAGCTGGAGTTTTCCTGTGTCCACCTGGCTCCTATAACCACTCAGACTCAAGTAAACACACAGAGACTTATATTACTTATAAGCTGCGCGGCCGTGGCAGGCTTCTTGCTATCTAGTTCTATCTAGTTCTTATATCTTAAATTAACCCATTTGGATTAATCTATAAGTTGCCATGTGGCTTGTGGCATACCAGTACTTTTACATGTTGCTTTCTCGGTGTCTGGCTGGTGACCCTGACTCAGCCTTCCTCTTCCCAGAATTCTCTTCTCTGCTTGTCCCGCCTATACTTCCTGCCTGGCTACTGGCCAATCAGTGTTTTATTTATCAACCAAATCAGAGCAACACATTCACATCATACAGAGCGATATCCACAGCATGCCAGCACTTAGGAGGCAGATCCAGGCAGATCTCTGTGAGTCTGAGGCCAGCCTGGTCTACAGAGTGAGATCCAGGACAGGCAGCAAAAAACTACACACAGAAACCCTGTCTGGAAAAACCAAAAAAGAAAATTGAACAACAGTTGTGAGATACCATGTGGATGCTTGGAATTGAACCAGGTCCTCTGGAAGAGCAGCCAGTGCTCCCAACTGCTGAGCCATCTCTCCAGCCCCAAACCACAGCATCTCTTATAAAGGAAAACATTTGCTGGGCAGTGGTGGTGCACGCCTTTAATCCCAGCACTCCGGAGGCAGAGCCAGTCAGATCTCTGTGAGTTCAAGGCCAGCCTGGGCCACCAAGTGAGTTCCAGGAAAGGCACAAAGCTACACAGAAAAACCCTGTCTCGACAAACCAAAATAAATAAATAAAGGAAAACATTTAATTGGGACTTGCTTACAGTTTCAGAGGTTTAGTCTGTTGTTGTCCCATGGGAAACATGGTAGCATACAGGCAGACATGGTGCTGGAGAAGGAGCTGAGAGTTCTACATCTTGATCCGCAGGCAGCAGCAGGAGACTGTGTGCCACAATGGGTGTAGCTTGAGCATGTAAGACCTCAAAGCCCACCACCACAAGGACACCCCTCCTAATGGTGCTGTTCCCTAGGGACCAAGCATTCAAACACACGAGTCTATGGGGACCATACCTATTCAAACCACCACAGGCTCAATAGCTGAGTTCCTGGAAAAGCCACTGGATGGATGATCCCTACTGACACAGGTAGAGTGTCTGCTGCCAAGCCTGATAACTTGAGTTCAGTTCCCAGGATCCACATGGAGGAAGGGGAGAACCAACTCCTGAGAGTTGTCCTTTCATGCATACAGGCAAACACACACACACACACACACACACACACACACACACACACACTGAAAATAATTTTTAAAAAATTGAAGTTGGGCATAGGGGTGTATACTTTTATAATCCCAGCACCCAGGGACAGAGGCAGGTAGATCTCTGTGAGTTCAAGGCCAGCCTGAACTACCTAGTGAGTTCCTGGCCCACTAGGGTTACATAGTAAAATCCTATCTCAGCCAAAAAGAACTGACAACCAAATGTCTTCCTTCTTAAGGCCTGGGCTCAGATATCCTTGTTCTCCTGCTCCCTGCTTCCCATTACCCAGAGCATCCACATCCAAATGCTAATGGCAGACTCTTCATGGGGACTCTTTCCCCAGAGAAACCTGTACAACCTCTGAGGAATCATAGCAGAATAAGGTCAGGAAAAGCAGATCTCACCTGAAAATGTTTTTAAGAAAGCAATGGTGTGGGTCAGTTTTCTCTCTCTCTCTCTCTCTCTCTCTCTCTCTCTCTCTCTCTCTCTCTCTCCCTCTCACACACACACACACACACACACACACACACACACATGCATAGGAGTGCTTGGTCTGTCCGTCTGTCTGTATGTATACCACATGTGTACCTGGTGCTCACAGAGTTAAAGGAGGGCATCAGATCTCCTGGAACAGGAGTTCCAGACAGTTGTGAACCATCTTGTGGGTGCTGGTGTGACAGGGCAAGGCAGTGCAGAGGCTCCTCCATCTTGTATTCTTGCGGAGGCCCTTCCAGTTTTAACTAGAACTTGATCTCCTTGATGGAGAATCCTGTGGAAAATTACCCGGTTGTATTCTAGAAACCCAAGACCAAGATGCTCCAGTGAACTCAGCTTCTGTTAAACTGCCCGCTTCTGCAAAGATCACTTCAGCTGCCGATCAGGATGTGGTTTGTATTTCAAAAATCCTGTATCCCTGGGCCCCCAAATGCATGAGTATAGTCCTAGTCGGCTGGAATAAAGATTTTCAATTGACTATAAACTGTGTCTGAGCGGCCATCTCTGGTACTCCCCATAACACTGGGAACCAAATCTGGGTCCTCTGCAAAGCAACAACCGCTCTTAACTACTGAACCATTCTATAGCTCCTTGGTTTAAGGAAAAAAAATTTTTTAGAGCTGAGAGACAGCTTAGGAGTTAAGAGCACTTACTGCTCTGAAATGACTAAGGTAAGGCCATCCTGTTCTGACTCCATTTTTTTGTTTGCTTAGACAGTTCTCAGACCTCTACCCCCTTCCCCCAGCAATCATGTCTGCCTTGGCAACACATTCGAGAGATTTCCATGACCTTTGCAAAGGAACACAAAGGTCCTAGGGTTCAAAGAAGCACTAGGGAAATCAGAAATGTTTTCTGAGATAACACAGGCTTGTCTCTCAACAGAAGAGATGTAGAACCTGTTTTTGCTCCAGAAGGCTGGGAATGGAGCTTAGTTGATCCTTGTTCTATCTGTAGGGCCAGGCCATAGCTAGCTCCTCCAAGCTCCCCCCAAGCAGGAACAAAAATAACTAATGGTCTGGATGACCTTTGTGCTATCTGTATGACTGAGACCACACCAGATCCTCCCCCTAGACTGTTAAGATAACACATGTAGCCGGTCTCTAGAACCCATCTCAAGGGAAGAAGGGGCATGTACCTTGAGAAGAGTTTTGATGTAAGTATGCCCCCTTGCGCACAGGGGATTGTGTTACACCAGGAAACTTTTTTCCAAGTCGTACTGTGCTTAACTATGCCAACAATATACTGCCGGGGGTCAGACTCTAGAAGTTTGAACCAACACCGGCTACTGAATCGTGTTGAACTGGATTTCCTTCTTGCCTCACATGGATCATTACTCTGTTGGTTGTGGCATTTGCAGAGACACCACCACCCCTGCCCAATCATGGTATTGACCATTGTCCAGATATATTAACCAAAACAATCATCAAGTTATGTATGGAATAACCACTGTGCTCTGCCAAGAATGAACATTTCAAGGTTACTCTGACCTTCATCTAACTTTGATGTTTCTTTATGGGTTTTGCCTATAAAAACTGTATCCTGAGTTTGGGCACCAAGAGGGTTTCCAGGGGCACAAGCCCACTTCTTGGTCTGGCCATCAATAAAAAGGACTTCGAATTTTTAATTGGTTTAATCAGTGTGGTAGCTGTCGATAACTATTCTTCAAGGATCATTACATTCTCCCAGAGGGCCAGGTTTGGTTCTCAGGATTCACAAGGCAGCTCACAAACATCCCTAGTTCCAGGGGATCCACTGCCACCTTCTGGCCTGCTCAGGTACCAGGCGTGCAGTGCACTTACACACGTGCAGGTTAAAAAAAAAAGTGCACTTACACACATGCACCAAAAATAAAAATAAGTTTAAACAATTTTTTTTTTGAGAGAGAGAGAGAATGTTTCTCTGCGTAACAGTCCTGACTGTCCTGGAACTCACTCTGTAGCCCAGGCTGGCCTCAAACTCACAGAGATCCACCTGGCTCTGCCTCCCGAGTGCTGGGATTAAAGGCGTGCGCCACCACTGCCCGGTAGCATTGCAAGTTTTAAATGGGTTTTAGAGCTCTAATGTAGATAAACTCCATACGAGACACAACGTAAACATTGAGTTTCATATACATTGTTGGAGGAGGTGAAGCAGGATGATCAGAAGTTCAGTGTCATCCTCAGCCATATGGAAAGTTCTGAAGCCAGCCTGGGCTCCTAGAGAGCCTGTCTCAAAAATAAAATAAGGCACTTTTGCATACATCTGTACACAATCGCATATATATGTTTGTGGGTTTGGGTTTTTTCTGTAATTTATTTATATTTATTTGTTTGTTTGTTTTGAGACTGGGTTTTGCCATGTAGCTTACAAACTATCGAGTCTCCTGTGTATTGGTTAGTTTTGTGTGTTAACTTGACACAAGCTAGAGTCATCGGAGAGGAAGGAGCCTCAGCTGAGGAAATGCCTTGAGATCCAGCTGTAAGGCATTTTCTCAATCAATAGGGGAGAACCCAGCCCATGGTGGGTGGGGCCATTTCTGGGCTGTTAGTCCTGGGTTCTATAAGAAAGCAGGCTGAGCAAGCCATGGGAAGCAAGCCAGTAAGCAGCTCTCCTTCATGGTCTCTGCTTCAGCTCCTGCCTCCAGCCTCCAGCCCAGCTTGAGTTCCTGTCCCGACTTCCTCCAATGATGGACTATGATGTGGAAGCGGAAGCCAAATAAACCCTTTCCTCTCCAACTTGTTTTTTGTTCCTGGTGTTTCATCACAGCAGTAGAAACCCTCACTAAGACATTCTGCCTCAG